GCACATGCTATTCGTTTGTGAGAAAGCTCGACTGTGTTGGACTTTAGCAAGGATTCCATTGGATGGATCTGTCGTTGGGTTTAATGATATATTGTTGGGGTTTATTAATCGACACAGCAATGAGCATTGCTTGTTAGTTAGTGTGATGTGCTACTTTATCTGGCTTGACAGAAATCGTCGGGTTTGGCAGCAAAGTGATGTTCATCCTTACAACATTGTCATGGTAGCGACTAACTTCCTTAGAGAATGGAAGAATGCGCAGATTAGTCGACGCAATTCCTCTTTCCATCGGCTTCAGTTCTAACATGGGCTCTCCCTCCGACTGGGGTTGTAAAGTGTAACTTCGATGCAGCTGTCCACACAACTGAGGGTCTTTCATCATATGCTAGCCTTGTCCGGAATGAAGTTGGACAGTTTTTGGCAGCTTGCACAGGTCATTTTGCTGGGGTGCTACAACCACATATCGCAGAGGCCATCGATCTGAGGGAAGTATTGTCTTAGTTGCTCACGAGATCATTTGGTAGCGTTCTACTGGAAACAGATTGCCTGCGACTGTTTCAAGCGGTCACGGCTGGTTTTGAACCTTATTCAGATTGGGCACCAGTGTTAGAAGAGATTAAACAATTGCTTTCTCAAATTCCATCTTGTGAATTAATTTGGGTTAGGAGGCAAGTCAACGAGCCTGCACATGCTCTTGCTCGTGTGGCATGTTTACATCCTTATTTCCATTCATGGGACACGACTCCCCAATGTATTGACGATCTTATTGTTCATGATTCATTATAATATTATGATCTCCTTTACTATCAAAAAAAAAAAATTAAAGAGTTAACTTCTTCCTTTTAAAAAGTATAAAAAAAAAAAGGTTAACCTCGTCCTTTTTTTATTCATGTTGAAAGAAACTTCCATAGGCAAGCACTTCTCAAACCACCCCTCCATTATTGTTTTTTATTAATCTTGATTCTTTTCTTCTGCAAGTGATCCTTTTAGTTTGCGTTGTAAAAATTTCTAATGGTTCTTGGACCGAAGGTTATAATTCCTACAAAATATTAAGTCAGCGTACAGTTGATGAAATTAGAAAAATCAGCCAAAATTGAAATAAAGAACAAAGTTCAAATTTTTTTTATCATTAAGCCAAATTAAAATTCAAAACTTATTGGAACAAATATTGTAAAAAGAAAAATTTTTTTTAAGCTTTATTTCATTTTTTCTTTTAATTATTTGAATTAAATCTGTCACGTTTAGAGACAGATTTAACCTTTTTTATCACGAATCCATTTTTAACCGTGAAACATTCAGAGAATTCTTTATTTTATTTTTTAAATATCAAAAAGATAAGTTCTTATAAAATTTTTACATTGAATCCGTTTACTTATATGGGTCCATATATTTGATTTAGTTGTTTATACCAGCTGATATTTGGTGGCTAATAAATATTTGTATTTGATAAAATTTTAACAGTGGTCGTTGTTAAAATATAAAATGATCATTAAGTAAATAATAGTTTTCAGATATTATTTTATATATATACACACACACACCTTGCACTTATGATTTTAGGCCGCCAACCGCGCAGAACGCGACACACTAATTAGCAACCAGAAATTTATAATTTAAAGTGAATATGTTATTTTATTTTAATGTATTATATAAATAAAATTTTAATTGAAATTTTAAAATAATATTTAAAAAAACATTTTATTTTAAATAACTATAAATAAATGCTCACAAAAATATCAATTATTGATGAAAAAACTTACCTAACAATTATTTTATCTCTCAATGTTGCACATCTATCAGTTGCATAAATTAATTGAATTAAATACTCTAAAACGATTTTAAAATGATTTATATTTATATAAAAAAATGATTATTTCCTAATCAAATAAAATCAATATAACAAAATATTTAAAAAATAAAAAACTAAATAAGAAGCTAAACAAGTAAGTATCTAGAGCCGTGTTTCCCTATCTTGTCTAGATGTGTTTGTGAAAATGAAGAGGACTTATCAGTACCACTTCCCAATGTTCTAATCGATGTCTTTTCAAAAAATTTCATAGTGTTTTTTCTTCTTAAAGAAAATTATGGTTTATGAACAGTTCTATCTGAAAATCACCGAGTCAGAGGTCATATTATATACTTGAATTGAAGATCTTGCCACTTGCCACTTTCATTTTCTGAGACCTTTCTTTTTGGTTTTTCATTGTCAAGTTGTTCTCTCTTTTTATTTTTTAAATTTAAAAACAAATGGAAGTGTCATCCCCAATGGTTAAATAAAGAAAGACGACATCAATTTGCATTTGGGTTGTTTCTGCATCATCTTGTTCTGTAATTTCATTTTAATCCAGCAACCAATCCCTGTTTAAAGAGGCAAGAACCCAACCAAGCACCACCTTTCCTTCTGGAATCAAACCCACTTTCTTGGTCTGATTTCATTTGCAATTTCTCTCTTTTACTCTTTAAATATCATCTGAAACTAATCCCACCCATCTCTAAATCCTCTGAAAATATGGGATTTGATAAAGAAGCAAGCTCATCTTCTCATGTCCTTCGGGTACCATCTCTTCCAAGAGAAGACACACCTCTTCTTGGCAGGAAACCTCCACTTTCTTCTAAATTCAAGACTTTTGCTAATGTATTCATAGCCATAGTTGGAGCAGGCGTTCTGGGACTTCCTTACACCTTCAAGAAAACAGGATGGGTAATGGGTTCTCTTATGCTCTTCTCTGTTGCTTTCCTCACCTATTATTGCATGATGCTTCTTGTCCATACTCGCCGCAAGCTTGAATCTCTTCAAGGCTTTTCCAAAATTGCTTCTTTTGGTGATCTGGGTTTTACTGTTTGTGGTCCAATTGGTCGTTTTGCTGTTGATTCCATGATTGTCCTTGCACAAGCTGGGTTTTGTGTTAGCTATCTTATCTTCATTGCTAATACTTTAGCTTATGTTCTTAATCAAGAATCAGATGAAAAAATTTTGGGTTTTTTAAGTCCTAAAGCTTTGTATATATGGAGTTGTTTTCCTTTCCAGTTAGGGTTAAATTCAATTCCAACATTGACCCATTTGGCTCCTCTAAGTATTTTTGCTGATGTGGTTGATCTTGGAGCTATGGGTGTAGTGATGGTCGAGGATGTGGTTTCTTTCTTGAAAAATAGACCTGTTTTAGAGGCTTTTGGTGGGTTCTCTGTTTTCTTTTATGGGTTAGGTGTGGCTGTTTATGCTTTTGAAGGGATTGGTATGGTGTTGCCATTAGAATCTGAGGCAAAAGACAAAGACAAATTTGGGAAAGTGTTGGGATTGTGTATGGCATTCATTTCTTTGTTGTATGGAGGATTTGGGATTTTGGGTTATTTTGCTTTTGGTAATGATACCAAAGATATAATCACCACCAATTTGGGTCCTGGATTGATCAGCAATTTGGTTCAGTTCGGTTTGTGTGTGAATCTGTTCTTTACTTTCCCTTTGATGATGAACCCAGTTTATGAGGTGGTGGAGAGGAGATTATGCAATTCTAGATATTGTTTGTGGCTGAGATGGGTGGTGGTTTTGACAGTAAGCTTGGTGGCTCTATTGGTGCCTAATTTTGCAGATTTCTTGTCTTTGGTGGGAAGCAGTGTGTGTTGTGCTCTTGGGTTTGTGATGCCTGCTCTGTTTCACTACTTGGTGTTCAAGGATGAGTTGGGAACTTCTGGTTTGGTTATTGATATGGCAATTTTGGTTTTTGGAGTTGCCATTGCGGTCACCGGAACCTGGTCTTCTTTACTGGAGATATTTACTTCTAAGTCTTCCTAAGTGATTTCATTTTTTTAGTTGGAGTTATATCCATTATTTGAAACACAACATTAGTAATTGTAAAACTCTTTAGTTGTTTTCTACTCTGATGCAGGATTCTGTCTATATATAATTTTACAACATTATATGAACTTATGTGAGACTGATACATGAGCGTTCCTATATACAGACTCAAAGAGAGTACAATGAAAAAAATAAATAAAAAAGAATCATAATGAGTAAAAATGTTTATAAACCGACTCAAATTTTCTAATCTACTCAAACTGATAAAGATTGTGATTTTAAAAATTTTATGATGAAGGGGCTTGATTTTTGGTCACATTCTCCATTCTTTGGTTTTATTTGGAAAATTAAAGAACAAGTCATCGATTTGGTTTAATGATTCTGAAATCAAAATTGTCAAAACCAAACCAAATCAAATCGAAAATATATATAACTTAATACTGTGTCCATTTGTAAATGAAACAAATGATAAGGTATTCGTAAAAAAAATTGAATGCTTCCAATAATCAAATTAAATCTTTATTTGGCGGTTTAAAAAAATGTGAAATCAAAGACAACAATGAAATTTACGGCTCTGGGTGAAGTGGGCTTTGAGAAGTACAAGGACTTGTAATTTGGAGAGAAGATCAAGAAACTGAAGTGAGCAATAGATTGAATTAAAAGACAACAGAATAATTTATAAAAAAACGACAGAATAATCCATATTACCCTGTACTGTGAAAGGCTGTAGCCCAATAACTCAAAACGAGTGGTTAAAAATTTTTATTCGGTTCGTTATTTTTCAAAAATAATTTGTAAAAAAATATTTTTTATAATTTTTTTATTATTTAAAATATTTTAAAAAATAAATTAATGTAAAATATTTTTTTATCAATAAAAATTAATTCATTTTTATACGAAAATAATTTTACATTTTCAAGAAAATAAAACATTTTCGGACATCGAAAAACTTGATGTATTTATATTTTTTAATTTATTAATTATCATAGTCGTTACCACCAGCCACCGCCATTTACTACCAACCAAGCAGCTCCACCGACAACTTTCATAATATATATATTTTACATTCTTCTTGTATTTATCAATAAAATTTATAAACTATAAAATTTCTATTATATTAATATTTTTTATGATCTTAACGTAAAATTTTAATATTTTTAATTAATTCTCGATATTGCAATCAATCATCAAAAGATAAGCGGAGCAGTAAAGCATAAATTCTCATTTTATTTAATTTTGATCTGCATTAACTTAAATTTACAAGTTAACCAATTCTTTGGTTTATAAAATTCTTAAAAGCATCCAAAGAACCCAATGAAGTTGATGGAAAGCCATCTTTAAATTTAGAGCAAATAATAGCAGCTCTTCCTTTCATTTCTTCATCTCCCATTAGCCTTTCTATCCCCTTCGTAAGATTGTCCTTTGTAATCCAATCCACATCACTAACAATATAACCTATCTTCATATGATTCACCACTAGTTTTGCATTCTCAACTTGGTCATCTAGAATAGGCCAAGCCAGAAAAGGAACACCTCTCACAATTGCTTCCATTGTAGAATTCCATCCACAGTGTGACACAATTGCTTCCATTGTAGAATTCCATCCACAGTGTGACAAAAATCCACCCGTTGATGGGTGACTCAATATCAACAACTGTGGTGCCCAACCACTTATTATCAATCCTCTTTCCCCAACTTTTTCTTGAAAACCCGAAGGAAATTCGACATCTGAACCAGAAAGTTGACGTGGCGGACCTAGTCTACCTGGACCCGGTTGGATTACCCATATGAATGGTCCAGTCCATTCTTCTAATGCATTAGCTAAATGAGGATATTCATCCATTTCTGGACCTAATTCTGTACCAAATGATATGTATAACACTGATTTTTTTGGCTTTGAGTCTAACCAACTTATTACCTCATCTTCAGTGACATTAGATTTTCGGTTCGGCCTAATCTCACCATCTCGAACGAGAGAACCAGCCGATTTCCAATATAACTCGGGCAAAAGTGGGCCGACTCCCCAAACCGGTTTTCCCACTTCATTTGCAAGGTAACGAATGAGAGGGCGTTCAAGATCATCACAAGTGTTTATCATCAACGCTATCGACTCCTCCACGTCATCTACCCATTGTGGTCTTCCTAGAGGATTTGGTGGGCCTATTTTTCTCGGCCCACCTGGGCTCGATGAATTTCCGCCGCCGCCGCCGTTAGGCCCACCAGGACGTCGTTTGAGATCTGATTCTGTAAGAGCCATACGCTCCAGTAATCCTGGCAGTAGACGGAAATCGCCGCCGTATTTCCAGGTGGCGAGCTCCACGGCAACAGAGCATGCAGAAGAAGTGAAAAATCCGATGGTAGGCACTTTGAATTTTCCGAAAATTTCGACAGTCCACTCCATTACTATAGCGACATCAACTACGGCACAAACGGGTAGATCTGTATGAGTTCGGGTTGATAGGAGAGATTCAAGTGCTGAAACCAGTCGGGTTTTATCCTCTTTCAGTCGAAGAAATGGGGGTAGTGAAGAAGGAGGTGGAGATTGTATTTGGGCAACTTCAATTAAAGGGTACTGGATAAAAGAGACGGGAATGGAGGAGTAAAGATTAGAGAAAATTAAAAGGGTGGTTTTGAAATTAAGAGACGCTAAGTGCTTACATAGCTCTATACAAGGAAGTAGGTGGCCCTGACCAAAGGCTGGAACAACAAAAATGTCGCTTGACATTGCTAGGTAGTTGGAAGCCAAAGACGAAGGCGATGGAATATGCATACGAAAAGGTTAGTATTTAATAGACCCAATCCAATCACTGAACGAACATGAGCCTCAAGCAAACACAAAGAAGCTGCCGCCCTAGCCCTAAAACTCAAACACAACAAACACCGCATTTTCTATTTCTACTAAACCCATATACCATATCCATTTTACTTAATCCAAACCCATATAACAAACCCAACTAACCATTAACCCATATAACAAATCCATTTTATAGGTGTAATTTTGTAACACGAGGTAATATTCAATATGGTAGGTCCTAGAATAGGAATATAATACACATTTTTAAATATAAATAGAATCCAATGTACAGATTTCACAACAGAAGAAATATACAAAATTTTCATCTATTTTTGCTTTTCTGTTCAATCACCCAAAGAGAAAAGCGAGTGTTTGAAAGTGTGGTGGAAAACGAAAGTTAGTTTGTTGGTTTGTCCACTTGTGTTCATTTTAGAAAGATGGTCCGGTCCCTCACCTTGCTAAAGTTTATTTATTTATGTCTGAGTGACAGTTCCTGACTTTTAGTTTCCGACCAAATCCTTTGAAGATACACTTATCACTAAATGGTTTTTATTTTTTTTATTTTTTTTTTTTTTTTTTTTTTTTTTTTTTTTTTTTTTTTTTTTTTTTTTAAAATGGAAACGTTTATTTATATCTCAAATAGGAGAGCCAGTACACTCAGAATAATGAAGAGCTCTAGTTAGTTCGAGGCAAAGAGTCAAAAGAGAAAAAACCTTAAGGAGTTTGTGAGTAATTCTGCTTCTGGAAAGTAGGCAAGAGAGTGAGCGACCTGCTTTCCCTCTCTGTATATATGTGTGATGAAAGACTTTGAGGATAAAAGAAAGCACTTGGATAAGTGAATCTTGTTGGTCTGACAAATATATTAATGAATTGTTTGTAACATTTGAACGCAGTTGCAAGGAATCCACTTCTATTTGAAAAGGGCCGGGAATTTCTTTTGAGTACAACCATTTGATACTTTTCATGAAGAGCTTGAAGCTCTGCCTGAAATGGAGATACTTGCTGAGGAGGAAAGGAGTGGCCGGCCCCAAATTCCATTAGAATTCGAATGAACTACGGGCCGCCAGAAGAAGAAGAAAACGGAACAAGGAAGCATCACATTAATTTTATAACCTGTTGTAGTCGGTCTTTCTCCAGTAACCAAAGAGAGTTTGCGATGAATTCCTCTTGTCAAACTAGCAGAGCAGCAGGTTCGGTTAAAGCATTGGCAAGGATTTTCTAGTGAATTTGTGAGGTGAACAAGCAACTCCGCAATCAAATAAATAAAATTTAACTATGTGCTGCTGAGTAAGTGAGTTCCCTTGGCATCACCTTCACCAGCTAAAGTTATCAGTATAGTTTTCATACATCCATATAATTACTAGAGAATCAGACGGCGAAGGAGGCCTGCAGTAACTTTTGTGGCCGAGAAAATCAAATACCATGTATCAACTCTTGACGCAAGCGTGCGAACAAGTAGAATTGCCACGGAACCAAAAATATTGCCTAAAGAAATTCCATCCCCATAGAACCTTAGGACAAAGAAAAAACAGATGATCAATGGTGACTAATGAACAGGAGCATAGAGGACAGCAATAAGGCCCATTAATCCTATAACGTTCAACTTATGAGGAAGAGGAAGAGCTCCAGGTAGCAACCCTCCACGGTAAAGTGCCGAGATTTTTTTTGAGGGATAGAAGAGTCCACACCATGCTAAATGCAAGAGTGTTGCTTTTATGCACTGAACATGCTTCATGAATGATAGCAAAAGAGGTGACACAATCTCTGCAGAATTATTTAGTTCCGAGCCAACTTCATGAGCGTGAAAATGCGTTCCATGAGCAAGAATCGGTCGCTTGAAAAGGACCATAAACCTTTTCGGTGGATACGCTGAAACATGTAATCTGACAATAACGAATCACGCTTCATATAAGAGAACCAACGTTTGACTGAGTAACATGTTTGATGGAAGAGAGGGATCGCAGACCCAAGCCGCCCTCAGCGTAGTGAAAAACAAAGCTGCTTGGAATTTAATCAATGATGCTTATGTTTGGAATCTGTTTTACCCCATAAAAAGTCTGCCATTTGAGTTAACTCCAAAAATACAAAGACACGAGCCGGAAGCTTTCATTGCAACCCATAATATGTATGGGGATTTGAAACTCAAAACATGCTTAATTAGCATACTGCCAAGCCATTGATAAAATTGTCTTAGACCATCCCATAAGCTTAGCAGCGATCTTTTTAATCAGATTCACTGCAATAATGAGGTACGATTATAACTTGGTAAATTGGGGCACCGAGAATTGTGAAAGGGAGGCATTTCTTTTGAGAGAGCTGCTTCAATTCTTGAGACGGTCGGGGACCTCAATTTTTTCGAACAATAGAAAGAGCATTTTTCAAAGTTAATCAACTGGCCCGAAACAGCTTGATAATTAAGGAGAAAGTTTTTAAAATTAGCGACACTTCTCATATCCCCCCTTATGAAAATCAACAGATCATCTGCAAAGCCCAAATGAGTAACCGGTGAACAATTTCGAGCAAGTGTATAAGGTTGAATTTTTCCAGAACAGACAAGATGTTTCAAACCGCGAGAGAAACATTCAGATACCAAAATAAATAGGTAAGGAGAGAGTGGATCCCCTTGCTTGACCCCCCTAGAAGGTGCGAAGAAACCATAGTTGGCACCATTAACGCAAACTGACAGTCTGGTGGCCGAAAGGTTCGCTATGAGCTGGTGGCCGAAAGGTTTGCTATGATCAATCGAACAATAGGTTGAGAGAAGCCAAAGCAAAACAGGACTGCCTCTAAGAAAGACCATGAGACACGATCAAAGGCTTTAGCCATATCAAGCTTAATGGCAATATTGTTTCCTCTAGCTTTCCTGCCAATTTCATGAATCATCTCATTAGCCAAAAGGATCTTGGAGTGAATTGACCTACCTTTCATGAAACCAGCTTGTTCCGGAGAAATTAAGAAATCCAAAAGTGGAGCAATCCTGTTTGCCAAAATTCTAGTACACACTTTACTAATAAAGTTAGTAAGACAAATAGGACGAAATTGGTCGAAAACTGATGGATTCTCAACTTTAAGAATGAGAATAATCTGAGCGCAACTGAAAGATTGAGGTATTAGAAGGCCCAGAAAAAATTCCTTAACAGCGCTACAAACGTCCCACTGAATAATAGACCAACAGTCTCTATAGAATCTCCCGTCGAAACCATCTGGACCAGGAGCACTAGAAGGATCAAGTTGCCAAACCGCGTTTTTAATTTCAGAATCAGTAGGAATAGCTCCCAAAGCCAAATTATCTTCCGTTGTAATTAATGAGGGAAGATATTCAAGAATTTGGCTACAGTCTTGCTGCATAACTTCACCCTGAAAGAGACTGGAAAAATGTTTGATCGCCTCCTCACCTATGTCTTCCTGCAACGAAAGCCAAACACCATCAGAGTTTTTAATTGAGGAGATACGTTGAAATTTCCTTGATAGCTTGACATAATTATGAAAGAATTTAGTATTCGAGTCCCCATCTTTTAGCCATTTTACATGAGATTTTTGTTTCCAGTATATTTCCTCAAGCTCCAGTAGATTTCCTCAAGGCGAAGTTTATTAAGAAGATGAGCTTGTTTTTCCTGCCATGCCTTCTATTTTACCGGATCAAGGATTGTAAACATAATCTCTTTCAGCTGTCTCGGCCGCCTTTCAGCATCCTTAAATAGCAGAAAAATGTCACCAAAAATGGTCTTATTCCATTCCTAATCGCACCTTTGCCGGAGGCCTTGAGTTTAAGGTGAAAACCCTTGCAATCCCCCCTCCAGAAAAAGAGGAGTTCCAGTGCTCCAGAACCATGGGAAGAAAAGAGGATTTACTAAGCCACATATGCTGATACCTTGAAAGGCTTAGGGTGAGTTAAACAGACTCTTTTTAAAACAATTCAGGTAGAGAGGGGAAATGATCCGAAAGGTTTTAAACCGAGATGCTTTTGATCTGAATCTCATCACAAGAAAATCAAGGAATAATTTGGGTTGGCCATAAAGCGATCAAGACGTTCCACGCGTCCAGACTGCGCACTCCAGTCCATGTTTTAAGAAGATTGCCCAAAAAGGTAAATCAACAAGACCACAAGAATCGGAACAATCAGAGAAATCTTCGCATACTGAGCGATTTGGTGAAGATCCACCCTTATTACTCTGAAATAACTTAATAGTGTTGGAAATCACCACAACTATCCACGGCCCCTGAGATAAATTCTGCCATACTTCTCCAGCTTTCTCCCACAGGATGTCTAGAGGACTCGAGAATGAAGAACCATACACCAGCAGAGATAGTGAAAACCAAATTCAGGGGATCTCATTCTGCAGAAACTGAAAACAAGCCTGTATATCATCTTGGGAAATTTTCAAGTGCAAAGTGAACCATCATTCCCCACAATAACCAAATTCTTGTTTTTCAAGCTAGTGAAAAATTATTGAAACCCAAAGAGAAACAATGAAGAACATTTGCAAGAAGCACCATAGGTTCTATAATAATAAGTAGTTTAATGTTGTAATCCACAACAGAGTTTTTGAAGGCGACTGATTGAGGAATTAATACCTCTAAGGTTCCAGCATATATATTCATTGAATAAGGGCTAGAGGCAAAAGCCTGTTCCTTGGGAAACGACGCGTGACCATAGGCTCAATTGGTTGGGGAGTTTTCTTCCTGTTAAATTTCTTTTTTGTAACAGCAACAAATCCATCATGTAGTTCACAAGCTGCATTCAGTTTATTTCCAATAGAGGTACCAATAGCTCTCAAATTATCTATGGAATCGACACCCATATCCAGATCAGCATCCCCATCAGATTTGTGTCCAATAGAATCATAATCACTAACCGAATGGTCAGGACCAGCATCAGAAAGCCCACCGGAAGCCACGTAAGTGTTGTCCTTCACCGCATCCAAGTTAGTAGTCCCACCTCATTATTCGTCCTTCGTTTCTAATCTCTCCCGCAAGCCGACTACAGCTCCAACCACCGCGTAGTCGCCGCACTCCACAACCTAGAGCAGATTTGCATAACAATCATGCAATAGCCGTTTGTCGGGGGGAATAGAATTTAAATCGCTGGAAGGCAGATGAGAGGAGGGGGGAGCAAGCAGATTTTTTTAACATCCAGCCTTTAGGA